GAGATATTGTAACGACATGAAGGTTTTCTTTTCCCTCCTCACCCCGAGTTTCTATAGTTTCAAGACGGGTTTTAGCTCAGTCACTCTTTACTTAAAGTACCAATAATACACCGTAAAAATACTCAATTACATGTTAAATGTTGAAAAATATTAAGTAAAAAATAAAGGTACAAGAAAAATGGATGCTTTGATTGCTGCATGGTAAATTACTGACAGAAAATCAAGATATTATTGTTGCTGTTATAAGTATTTTTAAAAGAATTGTAACTTGGTTAAAATAATGGGGATTTTTATTTTATTTTATGTTTTTGTTGATTTTGATTGATTGATTGAGCCCAAACTCATGTTGCTCATTTAGCCCAACCAACAGTACAAACCTTCAAACTAATAAAAATGCTGAAAAATTCTTGAAATAATTACAAAGACAAGCAGCAAATCCAGTTGAGAAGCTGAAACCATGAAAAATCTGTTACCTTAACATACAAAATGACTGATAGTTTCAGAGGTACGTCAGTATAGTGTTGGGTAGTTAAATTGAGAACAAAGCTTCATATGTTGGAAGCATTTCATACCTTTTCTGTGCAAACTATAATTAAAGTTGTCAGATGAAAGTAATGCAGTAAAGAATTGCTGAATTTTCCTCTGAAATGTTGTGGAAAAGAAGTAGAAACTTAGGACAATACATGTAATCTAGAGTTACCATCTAATTGCTGTAAAATTTCGTTCTACTTCTGCAGTGACACAGTTATCACAAATACACGAACAAATTTGATAAAATACATGCATACTGGTGGTAATAAGCCCGAAGCATACACACTTCTCCATCAATGCTCCACTATTGATTAACTGTAATTTACTGACTCACTTTGCATATTTCTCTTACTCACGTTACCTTTGTACATGTGATTTCACCTTGACTGTAAAAAAGGATGTAAGTTTACGACTTCAGTTCATTTTCCTGAGTTATGTTCAACTATAATATGGGATGTAGTTGGAATATCAGTTCTAACTCGGCCCAACTAATCAATTAAGTCAGAGTCCTTGTGGCATCATAGATTTCTTAGTTTACTTAACAATGTATGAGTAGTGCTTGCAAAAATGCACAGGAGAGAAGGATTTATTATATGTACTTCAGCTGTTTCCTTGTAGGACTTTCAGAGTTGATACCAGAGTGACACCAACTAATGACTCAATTATTGACTGTTAATAATTTAACTGAAATGAAAAAGATGCATCTCGTTTGCTGTGTTTAAGCGACCCGAGGAGGTGATCGTTCAGAACCGGGGGAATAGAGGAGCAATAATATTCAAATGTTCAAATCCAAATTGCTAAATGAGTAGTTCTGTGAATGTAATTTCAGTTGTGCTGTGTTTGAATTTCGATATTTGTTTATGGACAAGGTCATTTTTTAGTGTTTGTGTGGCCGTTGTGAGGGGTTTAGCTCACAACGGGCCACCATGACAGAGACTTCTGTAACATTTAATGACCTCTTGCCAGCACTCACATGCAAAGGGTCAGATCAGCTTAATATAAATTGTATGACCAGATTACATAGTTTGCATTATTTAAAAAACAAAACAAAAAAATCCCCCCTCCCAATTTTTTTTTAAAGTAAGTTAAATTATTTGTACAAAAAAAAAAAAGAGAGAGAAGTTAGTCAGTGACACACATAGTTAAACCAACTCTCATCATCTATTTTGACCATTTAAAACTGGAAATTAGTTCAACAAGGCTTAGTTTGAGCAATTTCTACTTTTATGTTTTTACAGCTTTCAGTTATCAGTAGAAGTTTGTTGGTTTATACTCCTCACTTGGTGTAATCTTTGCCATGATTTAAGTCTGTACAACTTGAAATGTTTTGATATTATTATTTAAAAAATAGTTTGGTTAAACCCATAGTATAAAGTAGAATATTTTCTCAGCTTCACGTTTGTTGTTGTTTGTTACTTATTCTAAGTTTAAGGAGTTCAGGTATGTGTGCAAACAATGGAAATTTGTTAGCTGGCTTAATTCAAGATTTTAAGGCGCCAGGTCACAGATTATATTAGATTGCACACTTGTTCATTTTTAGTGTTGTGCTTCTGAACATTTGCATTTTTACACTAAAAAGTTTGCTAAAGTAAGCTTTAGCATCAAATATGTTTGGTATCAAACATAGTCATTATACAGAGTTGGACACTTCAAAATAATATGTATTATATTACTGGAATACACTATATGGCATAAACATTAATAATACATAATAATTTATTTGTTGATTATGTTGTGTGTTAATAGTTATGGAAGCTGTTATATTAACATACGTAGGTCTGCCACAGAGGAATATGAGGTTACATTTAAATACCAATATTACAGCCATGTAATCATGAATAACAAGTATCTGTCAAAATGTGACACTTTTTCTAATTAAAAATATTAAATGTGTTTATTACACAGAGTAATTGAAAAAATAATTCAATACTTTTATTGTTGAATGTAACTGATAAGATTACATTTTAAAGTACGCGTTTCGACTTTTGAATCCTCATCCTAAACTTTCAAAACCGCATTTTGTTGTTTATCTCAGTGTCACTTGGTTGATTAGTGAGTTTGATAAAGGGGAGGTGCAGCCCTCTGCAGCATGATGGCATGTTTCACCAGCAGATGGAGACAACTCATCTTCATTTTACCAACTCATCCTGTTATGTAACCTTTAAATGAACATTTACACACAATAAAGAAGTCAAATTTGATCTAATTCAGGCAGGACTACCACATAGAACTACCCATCTATAGTATGGTAAGTTGTTTTTTTTTTTGTTTTTTTTCATGTAACCCTTTAGCTGTTTAAAATCTGGAGTAGTTGCTAAAGCTGTGTTTTTTAATTGCATCAGATAATTACCATCTAAATTACATGACAATAGTACACATAAAACACTTTGAAATTATCTTTCTTCTGCTCAAGACTCCCACCAAATGAAGACATCACACTGCGTCCATCCAGTCTTTTATTTCTTTTATTTGACTGCAGGTTCTGGGCCAATCTTGCATTGTTCAGCAATTTTATCCAGTTGTTTCCATGCTGACGTTTCATCCAGACAGTAGTGATGTGCAGATCGATACTGAAATATCGATACTTCCGATACTGGATCTTTATGCTCTAAAATCGATTCCTAAATCAAAAATATCGATACTTTAGTCATTTGAGGTAATGTAAATCACTACCAGGAGCACAGTGGAAAGTAACTAAACTATTGAGATCTTGACTAAAAACCCTTTTGAATTTAGTGTTTTTATGAGAAGCCTTATAACAGCGTAATTTTGTGTATTTTTATGTTACAAATTATATAAATACAATTGAATTTCCCTTCTGGGATGAATAAAGTATTTTTCATTTCATTTCATTTCAAAAGCAGGCATTCTTACTTTTGTTTAGTATTTTAATTTTAATTTAACATGAAAACAAATAAACAAAACACTGCAAACAAACCCACAGAACAGAAACAGAACAAAACTCAGTTCAAACACCAAACAGTATGTCCTTAGTACAAGTTTGCATTCAAAAAAATTAAATGTCTCAGCTTGTCTGATGCAGTTTCTCCTCTCGGTTAGTATCTGCCCAGTTTTTGAGAAGACTCTCTCAGAGGGAACAGATGTTGTCTCCCCTCCATCACCTTCACCAGGTGGGGGAAAACTGAGGCCTTGGCCTGCCACCAGCTCAGTGGCTCTTCTGCTCTTTGGATGAGGGGCTCCTCAAGATAGCATCGCATCTCCATTATAACATCAGCTGAGCCACTAAATCCTCACATGTGATTGGCCACAAGGCTGCCATGCTGCTAATCAAAACAAAGTTCTGCCATGAGCTGAGCTGAGCCACTGAGCAGCGAAAAAAAAAAAAAAAGTTAGGAGCCAGCTCTCACTCGATGGGAGTTGGCTCTTCTGATTCACAGTAAATAGTAAAGTAAAGCGCATGATACATCACTAGTTGACACAATAGCAGAGTGTAAATGGAGTCATGTGTGGAGTTATATCAGCTCCACAAACAGCCAAGACGCACTTTGTGATGTTAAGTAAGTACATCTGCAACAAGGTTGACCAAATCTTAACTGCTTTCGTTTTATGAGAAGGAACCTGTCACATCAAGCTGCAAAACTGTATGCAATGATTTCTTTTCTTTTTTTAAAAAATCATCTGTCATATTGCATCACATCATGGTCACAAGGTTCTTCAACTACTTTAAAACCTATAATCTCAATACACAAGCAGGCAATAAAACTCATGGACCGGAAAGCAAAACTGTTAAATAAATATTTTCAAATGCAGGTATTGACAAACTTCTGCAATTATTGTGGCATTTATTATGTATGTCCTCTGTGTTTTCTGTTGTTGTATTAGCTTGGCTATATTGTCAATGAGGCCACTACCTCAATATACTTTCAAGTTTAAAATAAATCAGTCAATCACTTGACTAATAAAAACACTGGCCAAACAGATTTGTTACTAACATACAAAAACAAACAGAGTGTCTAAATCTCTGAATAGAGCAGAAATCAGTGTAAATTTTTCTGGTTGATATATATCTATATAATACATACACAGTTGAAACCATACACTGTTTAAAAGACATAAAACCTTTTTTTTTTTCACTGACGTTAGATCAGACTAAACTTTTTCTGTTTAAGGTCAGGTAGAATCACCAACATTATTTCTGTTTGCTCAATGCCAGAATAATGAGATTTTTCTTTGAGATTTTTTTTTATTACTTTCTTAAAAGTCAGAAATCTACATACACTAAGATGACTATGCCTTCAAACTATTTGGGAAATGCCAGGTGATGATGTCATGGCTTTGGAAGCTTTTGATAGGTTCATTGACGACATTTGAGTTAACTGAAGACACACCTGTGGATGTATTTTAAGGCACACCTCAAACACACTGCTTCCTTTTGTGACAACATGTGAAAATCCAAAAGAAATCAGTCAAAATATCAGGAAGAGAATTGTGGACCTCCACAAGTCTGGTTCGTCCTTGGGTACCATTTCCAGGTGCCTGAAGGTTCAAACAATTATACACAAATATAAACACCATTGGAATGTCCAGCCATCATGCTGCTTAGGAAGGAGACGGGTTGTGTGTCCCAGAGATGAAGTGTTTTGATGTGAAATGTACATATCAAGCCCAGAACAAAAGCTAAAGGTTATGTGCATTTTTATACATCTTATGTAAACGACTGGTTTCAATATATATGTATTTACAGTGTATGATATACACAGTTTGATATAGTATTGACAGAATGAGTAGTGTGAATGGAGTAGTATAATAGGCTGTAAGTAATACCTTTACTAGATTTAAAAATAAAAATAAAAAAACAATATAAAAATGGATAAATGTAAAGATAAGAAACATTTATCTTTTGCAGAGTCTGGTTCCAGTCTTTAGTCACCAGTCACTTCTGCTGCACCACTCTGCTTTGTAAGATCCTGCTGAGTCCTACTGGGAAAAAAACAGTAGTTGGTGGATGTACCTCCAGCTGTATAGGGGCCAGATGTGGTCTGTGTGGGCCAGATGTGGCCTGTGGGGCCTCCTCGGCTCCGCCCCTGGTGCTCATCACTAGACTGTGTGCAGGCGAACCGGTGAAGCCGCTAATCTGAGAGTGTGTGAGCGGAGCTGACTGCATGGAGCCAGTTGGCAGCGACTACAACTAAACACTCACAGAGGAAAGTGGCAGCAATGAGCCGACAAGGTAGGACCAGCTCTTAGTGTCTCTATAGCATCCTGCTGGATATTCAGTTCAGTTTCAGCGGACAGCTGACGTGTTTGTGGTGGATTTATTTAAGTTAGCCACGTTAGCATCGTGTGCAACAGGTAACGTTAGCTGTTAGCTGGCTAGCTAGTTAGCAAGGAGAGAGTTCAGCACTGAGGAGAGCTCCGGTCACTTTACTCTGACATGAACATAATAAACCCACAACACGGACACTTAATATTGATATAAATACTGCATGGTTTAGATTATTTCGACTTTTTACCAATTTCTAAGTTTAAAAAGTATGCCATAGTTACATGTGTTAGCTACACACTTCATTAATCGGTTTGTCAATGGGAGGTTTTGGTCAGACTTCATATCCATGATATTCTCTAATTTGTTAGTTATTTGTATTTACACTGTAATCTGAGACTTTCCTGAGCATTAGTTGTATTTCAGTGTCTGCATATGTGTTGCTGAATTTGTGTTTTGTGCTATGTAATATGTGTTTTATGACCCAAATACTGTGATATGTGGCATTGGTTCGTGGTACATACTTGTTCCTGTCCATATGCACAGTCAATAGATTTTTTTAAAAAATTACCTTCTCTGCATACTTTTATTGTTGGGACTTCTTAATCCATGAATTTCTCTAAAAAAAATTAATTTCTAAGTTATATTTATTCACCCCTGTGCTGGGTCTCATCTGTGATAATCACATTCATTTTCCTATTTGTTGACTTTAAGATACAAATCTATCAGTTTAGCATTTCTTTTAATGTGTCTAATGTTTTCTCTTTGCTTTTCCTGAAGGTTTTAGCGGGACCACTTCATCCATTCATTTCTCTTCAAGGATAACAGAGAATGGATGTTCACCCACAGGTCTATCACTGGAGGATGAAGATAATCTTCGTTTTGAACTTTCAAAGGTAACGCAGCTCTTTTGGCCTGTTCAGCGTGTGGTACGAGAGCAGGTAGTGTAACTTCAGCTGCTTGCTGTTTTCGCTACTGAATTATTTGGTATGGGGTTTTTCTTTCCTTCCTTTCACATAGGTCGACGATGAAATTCAGACCTTGAGGCAGGTGCTTTTTGCTAAAGAGAAATATGCAGCAGACATCAGGAGGCAGCTGGGAATGAGTCCTCTCAGCAACATCAAACAGAACCTGTCAAAAGGCTGGCAAGAAGTCCAGACCTCAGCACCGTACGTATACTTAGCCTCACGAACATGCGACACATACTTTTAAATGCTTAAAAACTCTGGTCTAAAACACCCAGCCACTGTACTGGCAGAGCACTTATCACGCATTGTTTTAGTGTGACATGTTACATAAAAGCACACTAATGACTGTCATGGCCGCCCTCTTAAGTCAGCGTACTAATCTGTCGACCTGTGCACGCTCTGTCCTTTCAGATATCTCACAGCCTCTGCCACCCTGGACGACATCAGCCACTCCAACGTGTGAGTGTTGCGCATCATATCCTGAAAAAACATTTGCACTACATTTTACGTGGCAGGGATTTCCCACTTTTTTGTCCTCGACTCACATGTTAAAGAGGGATCTCTTCTGAGGAACAAGTAAAGAGATTTTCCAGGTCAAATTGGATCGGTGCCCCGTTAATAGCCTTACAGCCTGACTTAGCACTAGGAGCAGTAGTATTAACCAGCAACAGCAGGACCCGCCTGAAGTGAAACAGAGTGAGCAAGAGATCTCCCGCAGCCAGATGGACTGCAGCCATTGACGTATTTGAGCTTATTGTTAGCTACATCTCAGCGTATACCTTTGTGCCTCATCTGTTATGTAACATATGACAATACTGTGACCTTTCTTTAGACTCTGAATTGTACTCTTTATTTCTGCCTTTAGATACATGAGGACACGGGATGGTCTCTCTCATGCAGGCCATGTGACATCTGCTGCCCTGTCTGGTATGGGGGTGGCCCTCACCAGGAGACTGGCAGAGATGAGGTACACAAAAGCTCACCTTCCTCCTCCTGATTTTGAACAGACAAAGAGAAATGTCCATTTTCTAATTGTATTTGTTCAGTGTTGGCCCACTGATAAATCTAAAATGAACAGAAGACATTAGTTTGAGATTCTAGTTGTAATTCTCTATGATTCACCCGTATCTTAGTCACAAAACACCAGAGTCTGCTTGTGAAGAGTGAAAGAAGAATGAGAGTTAATAGTGCACAAGCTACAATCAAAGTGTTTGGAAAAGCTGTGTTTGGCTCATTTAGCCAGGCAGATGGACAGACAGGAGGCCAGCAGGGAGGCGCGACGAGTAGACAACATGTCATGATGGTTTGAAATGCAGACTGTGGTTACAGGTTAGCAAACACTATGAGAAAACGTCCACATGTCCAACTGAGACATGTCTTAATCACTGAGAAATAAGGGTTAGAGTTAAATAATATCACAAGCCAAGGTGAAAGTTGAATGTTACATAATTTAAAAACCACCTTTAGTTGCAATTAGTATAATTTTTTTTTTTTAATGAGAGAAAAAGTTATTTACATCTCATTTGTATCTACTTGGATCCACTATCTAATCTTTATATCTGAGATTTAGGACCCAGAAAACAAAGCAGCTAAATGGATTTCAGCCATCCAAGATTTTTTTTGCTGTAAATCTTGGTTTTCCTGTTTCAACATTTAATGATAATGTAATGAATGATAATAGCAATGATAACTTTATTTCTATATCACATTTCTAAGTCCAAAGGTGCTGCAGAAAGCCGACATTAAATAGAGGACAAATCTAAACACACAAAACTTCACATATATTAAAGAACAAAATAAAGTAACTTTGGTGAAAAGACGTAAAGAGGACCGATTTAGCAAATTCTAAAAGAATAAAATTAAACAGCCATAATAAGACTAATTAAGAGAAGACCTTATTTAAAAAATAAACTTTCCAGAACTGTTTTAAAAGTCAGATATCTTCCATACCATAAGACTTACAGCCAGTGTAATCAGTGAGGACAATAAATGTTCAGTGGTTGTTGTTTTTTTTTTTGTTTGTTTTTTTTACAATGTGTTGATACTAAATGACCACAGCATAGCAGAGGAGGGATTTTAGAAATATGCTCACATTAGACATATTTTACTGGCAATATCAAAACATAATTTAAGAAAACATAGAATTCTTACAAGTGATCTTACAACTTTTATACTGTGTCTTTAACAAATGCTAAAATGCAAATCACTTTAAGTATGAGGCTGGTGATAGCAGATCCCTTAAAATACCAGCAATGAATCCAATCCACTAACAGGCCATAGTGCCATAATACACATCAGAGATATCATTCATTACAGTGAACACGAGCTGTAGTTCATGTTGACTCTTTCCTTTATGTACTGCTTGTGGGCTTGATGCTCTGAGAGATGAACTGATGCATTTTGGGTTTAAGTCCTTTTATGGCATTTGTTTACAACAATAATTCCTGCCTTTTTATGGTGTAAGAAGTTCCTGTAAGAATCTTTGTAAGTGAATACTCCCCCTGTATTCTGCCTGTTGACTGACATCACGTTGTGTGGAGAAGAAGTATCTCATTCCTCAGGAGTAGTTTTTGGAATATTCCACCAACACCAGTAAAAATACAAGCAGCCTTTTGGAGATTCTGGCCTATATGTGGCCTTACATTTGAATGTGTCTTCTCTTGTGTTTTTGCTTAGCGAGTACACAACCATAATCCAATCACTGTAGTGCATCTGGACGTGAGCAGCAGTAGCTGTTAAGTCTGTTGTTGTTGTCCTTGTGGAAACAGAAGCTGGTGTGACGTTATCTGTGTGTCTGTTTTTATCTTCCTGCTGCAAACTCAACAGAGCTCTGCCTCTTCCAAGCCCACCACGGTAAGATCTGTAAGACTGAACTGAGCTCCATCACCTGTCTTAAGTGGATGTGTGGGCGACCTGAGTAGAAATGTAAAGTAGAATCTGCAGACTTTAGCACAGTTAGATGATCATACAGTTGATGTGAATGTATCATCTGCTGAAATTAAGCTGAATTAGTCAGTTAGTTGATTGACAGAAAATAAACCAAGTTTTTTAAATTGTTGGAAAATTGCAATTGGTATTTTTACTTTTTTCTCTTGTTTTTCAGTAAATGATAAATTCTTTCATTAAAAAAAAAAAGTAAGAAATTGATTGATAGGTAAAAAAATATATCCTCTTCATTTTTTTTAGTTTTGGAGAATCTTTCAAATGTACTTCTGTACCTGAAAGATTTTTGCTATATATTTTTTTTTAGATATTTGCTAAAAGAAACTTCTAAAAACTAAAAATGTTTTGTTTTTTAAAATTGTATTATGTTGTTCCAGTCCCACGATAGTTCAGAAAAGGATACCATAATTCAGAAAACTTAAAAGGTTTATCTCTCTGAGTGAGAGAGTAATTGGAAAACAGATATTTTATTGTGAACCCATTGCACAATACAAGAGCGTATTCAGCTATCCACGTGTGAAAAGTGCATTTCTGAGCACTGGTATTAAAAAGCCCTCATCTTAGATATATTAAACTTTGTGCAAATCAAAAGTATCTTTTAGACTTTTTCTGAATCTATGATTTTATTTGAAGGAGTGCTTGTCCCTTTTATTACTCAAACTTCTTCTCTCTGTCTCCTCCCCTGCACCTTCAGCCACACTATAAGTGTGCCGACCATGAGGTAAAACCCTACAGTTGTTTGTCTATTTAAACTCTACATCTCCTGCTGTATTTGTGCAGTAATTGTTCCTCATATCTCTCCCCAGACACTCCTCTACATTCAAGTCTTTTGAGGAAATGGTCGGCAATGTGAAAGTGAGTTTAGCAAACCAGCAGGCAGGTGAATTCAGCAGTGCACACAGTCCGATTACTGTACTGATCACTTGTTTCTGCTCTGAATCATGCAGGACAAAGTGAGCAGCAGTCTGACAAATAATGGAGACACCACTGGGTTTGAAAGAAGATCCTCACGGCACACCACATGAGATAAACCTGCTTGACGTCCCTCAGTGAATTATTTCTCCCTTGGCTGTGTGAATACTGCATGTCCACTGTTATTTCTGACTGTTAATAATTAATACAGAGTGACAAATAGAATGTACTATGTTGGTAATGTAAGCTTATTTTGACAGTACATATAAAAATAATATTTTAATATGTAATTCTCAGTATGTTTCATAAATGTATTTTATTTATTTTTAAATGTGAGAGCAGAAAATGTATCTTCTGAAGTCAGCTGTATTACCTAAAGTATTTTTGTAAATGCAGATTTTTCAATTAAAATCAATAGAACGGTGCACTGACTCTTGTCATGAATGGTGACTGTGTAGTTGTTCTTTCTCATTTTTCTGTTGTTATTTTTTAGAGATAATTTTTTGAAAAGGCCTTATTTCATATGAGCCTTTGGGTGGTGCTAGAGTTCCACACAGAAAACAGTTTTGCTCATGATGTGGACACTAGCTTGTAGTGTCCCTACTACTTTACTGAATCCACTTTTACTGTGATCAAAAGCTGAAATCCACAGAGGAAAATTTACTGAGATATCCCAGACTAGTGACTAATGAGATGCGCAGTTTAGTACAGAAACATTAGGAATACATTTATATTTCTAGCATTTTAACGTCAAGTCAAATCACTGTCGTTTATAGAACACATGTAACACATCAGAAGTTGTCCCAAAGTGTCACTCACATATTAAAGTTAGGAACCTACAATAT